CCATCCGTCCATCCGTTCGTCCGTCCGTCCGTCCGTCCGTCCGTCCGCCTGTCCGTAATTCCATCTGTCCGTCCGTCCGTCCATCCGTCCGTCCGTCCGTCCCTCCCTCCGTCCGTGCGTCCGTCCGTTTGTCCGTCCCTCCGTCCGTCCGTCCCTCCATCAGTCCGTCCCTCCATCCGTCCCTCCATCCGTCTGTTCGTCCATCCGTCCATCCATCCGTTCGTCCATCCGTCCGTCCATCCATCCGTCTGTCAGTCCATCCGTCCGTCCGTCCATTCGTCCGTCCGTCCATTCGTCTGTCCGTCCATCAATCCGTGCATCCGTCCGTCCGTCCATCCGTCCATCCATCCATCCGTCCGTCCATCCGTCCATCCGTTCGTCCGTCCGTTCGTCCATACGTTCATCCGTCCATCCGTCCATCCGTCCATCCGTCCATCATCCGTCCATCCGTCCCTCCCTCCATCCATGGATCCATCCATCCATCCGTGCCTGCATCCATCCATCCGTGCGTGCATCCGTCCGTGCGTCCCTCCATTCGTGCGTCCCTCCATCCGTCCGTCCCTCCATCCGTGGATCCATCCATTCATCCGTGCTTGCATCCACCCATCCGGCCCTGCATCCATCCGTGCGCCCGTCCATCCGTGCGTCCCTCCATCCGTGCGTCCCTCCATCCATTCGTCCATCCTCCATCCTCCATCCGTCCATCCATCCGTCTATCCATCCGTCCATCCAGCCGTCCATCCTTCCATCCATCCGCCCATCTGTCCATCCGTCCATCCATCTGTCCGTCCATCCATCCGTCCATCCATGCATCCATCCGTCCATCCGTCCATCCGTCCGTCCATCCGTCCGTCCATCCCTCCATCCATCCGTCCGTCCGTCCATCCGTTCGTCCGTCCATCCGTCCATCCATCCATCCGTCCGTCCATCCGTCCCTCTGTCTGTCCCTCCATCCCTCCATCCATCCGTCCATCCATCCATCCATCCATCCATCCATCCATCCATCCATCAATCGATCCGTCCCTCCATCCGTCCGTCCCTCCATCCGTCCGTCCGTCCGGTCGGCAGTCCGGCCGGCCGTCCGGCTGTCCGTCCGTCTGTTCGTCCGTCCGTCCGTCCGTCCGTCCGTCCGTCCCTCCGTCCGTCCGTCCATCCCTCCGTCCATCCATCCCTCCAGTCGTCCATCCCTCCGTCTGTCTGTAAGTCCGTACGTCTGTCCGTCCGTTTGTCCGTCCGTCCATCCGTACAGTCCGTCCATCTATCCGTCCGTCCGTCCATCCGTCCGTTCGTCCATCCGTCTGTCCATCTGTCCATCCATGGATCTATCCATGGATCCGTCCATTCATGGATCCGTCCACCTATCCATGGATCCGTCCATCCATCCATGGATCCGTCCATCCATCCATGGATCCGTCCGTCCATCTATGGATCCGTCCATCCATCCGTCCATCCATCCATCCATCCGTCCATCCGATCCGTCCATCCATTCGTCCATCCGTCCGTCCATCCATTCGTCCATTCGTCCGTCCATCCATCCATCCATCCATCCATCCGTCCATCCATCCATCCGTCCGTCCGTCCATCCGTCCGTCCATCCGTCCATCCGTCCATCCGTCCATCCATCCATCCATCCATCTATCCATCCATCCATGGATCCATCCATCCATCCATCCATCCATGGATCCATCCATGGATCAATCTATCCATCCATGCATCCATCCATCCATTCATCCATCCATCCATCCATCCACCCATCCATC